GAGAAATCCAGATTGGTTTTATTATTTGAAACCCCCAAATAATTCTCAACTCAATCGATTACACTGAATCCTAATTAGACATTATCAAACTATCTCTAAATGGAACCCCGACAAATAATGATTATGTGTAATTTGTTTTGTGTATGCATAGAGAGAGGATGAAGATGATGAGCAATACTTTATATATTTGTAGTTTCTTGTTTTAGAAATGATGGATGAATGAATATATGTGTGAGAGAGTGTACTTGAGAAAATAGAAAAAATTAGGTTGTAAAATTACAAAAATTGACATTTGGATCAGTGGAAGCCAACCTATACGAAGACGGAGTCGAATCCAAAGGGCAAATAAGTCGACTTATACTGCCGGCGAGTTGACTCCTTTTAGACAGAGAGGAAAGTTTGAAAAAAAACTTCAGTATGAGCTGATACACACACGTGGTAGTCGACTCCTTCGTGTTATGTATTGACTCCAAATACATGAGAGTTGACTCCTTTTAACCAGAGAATCAATTTTAAAAATGCGTTCAGTAGGAGTCGACCCACAGCTCGAGGGAGTCGGATCATTCAGTTGTGTATCGACTCCATGGACCTTGTGTATCGACTCATGCTGACCCGAGAGTTTATTTTCAAATATTCTTCAGAGGGAGTCGACTCCAAACATGATTTTTCACAAAAATGCATATTTTTGAAGTTCTTAATATATCCAAAAGCTTTTGATTCGATCCCTAAGTGTCCTAAGATGAGAATGCAACCTAGACATAAAGAGACACCTTTCAATATACAAATACTACATATTTCCTAATTTTGACATCATACAAAACATCTAAGAGGAGATATTTCACTCACACTAGTCTTAGTGTCTTTGGAAATAAATGGTTGGATAAGGCATATAAGCTAATTTGGGTTTGTTCTTGGGTTAGGTCAGGTTTCGGGTCAAGTGAGAGATTGAGTCCATTGGGTTCAACATTCAAATTTAGGTCAAGTGGCTTGTCTCCTTCCATAATCAACAAAGAAAATTTGAGCTCACACTTGTCACCAGGACTAAAATTTTTAGCGCAATTAAAACAAATTTTCTTCTCTCACCAGAGAGACACTTCTACGGGGTAAAGAATTTGAAGTGAGGTAAAGTGGTTTTGAGGATGTTGGTGGGTGGTGTGGTTTTGGGGATGTTGGTGGATGATGTGGGTTTGGATGAAATAGTGGGAGTAGAGTGTATACCTTTATTATGAGAAAAATAACTTGTTTTAATCTTTTCCTCATATAAAAGATAAAGATTGTAAGAGCTGCACTTCTCGACGAACTTCCGGTGGCAATATAGAGATGAAACAATTGAAGAGAAATCTAGGTGGTAAGCCCACGATGCAGCTGGCAAGGGTTTCAAACCCGATGAAGTAATCGTTCATTATTCCCTTTTGTGTAAGGTTAAACACTGCACCCTTGGGATCTTCATACTATGATAGTGAAAAAAGAGACTCCAACGCTTGTAACACTGTCGACCATGTTGAGATCTGTCTGATACAAGACATCCATTGGAACCCTCATAAAGTTGGGCCTTCCAAGTAGAAGGATGTCATTGTCAAATGCTCTATTTTGAGTGTATCATGGTATTCAAAAAACTGGGTGATCTTAAAGATCGAACCCAAGGTGTCAGTTGCATTGAAGCGAGGGACATCAAGCTTCATGCAGTGGGTTTGATTCGGACCAGGTCGGGGTGACAGAGAGAACGCATCGTCAACAACAATGTGGGAGGTAGGTTCGACGATGAATAATTTGGTGAGGCTGTCGTTGATCTTGGGAAGCAAAAAGTGATTGGGAGTTGGCGAGTGAGGTTTGATTGATGGATAAATGATAGATAACATCTTTCATGGTCTTTGAACAAGTGTTATCTTCCATAAAACTCGATGAATGAACTGAAATTATTAGGAATGGAGTAGATAAACCTAGAGTTTGAGGATTAGGGACCTTCAAAGAATTAGAGAGATAAAATTGCAATAAATCTTGCTTATTTCATTCCTTCCATACATTATATATATAATATATATATATATATATATATATATATATATATATATATATATATATATATATATATATATATA